ATTATCTTATTATTAGTATCTTAGTATTCAGCACATTCATTTAGCAACGCATTCATAATTGACATTTTGAAGCCGTTATTGCTATGCTAGCATAGTTACAGTAGGCGTTACTAGCACAGTAGGCACTATGGCAGTACAGTTTATGTATACAATTAGGGCACGTGTATTCCTAAAATAAAATTAAATAATCTGTCGCTTATAATGATAAAATTTACATTGATGTTCAAAATAAAGTGAATTAACTTAATTGTTCAAATATCCCTAGAGCAAATGGACCAATTATAATTTAGTTGTGTACATAGATTGACAGAATAACAGAAAAATACCCTCACAACAGTTACAGTGCGCATCCATAGTCATGTTGTGCCTTAAACCAGTCTAGAGGTTACTTTCAACTCAAAATGCCAAGCAAAAAGTATCGATTAACGGGAAAAGAGTTATCGTCGCTTCAAGTGTCAAATCCTTCCTCTTATCAAATGTAAATTCGTAACGAAAATCAGGCAGTTTAAGAATCCATGTGGCTGTTCGTCCTGTCCTTCAGCAATACTGCCTTTGATTATTCAAAGAGGTGAAAGGTGGATTGCAGTTTCCCTCATTAGAGCGTCCTAGACTTGATACATAGACCCTGTCTAGAGATCTGCCTAAGATCTAAGGCCAAGGATCTAAACATGAAGCGTTTACCATTAGGTGATAGTTTCAGCTGTCACATCTTGAATTCTGTGAAAAACAAATCTCAAGCAATTTAAGAGTTAAATATATATTCTTGAAATATACTCTGGTGAATAACAAGAATTTTTGAAATATTTTCAGGCACACATTTTGTCTTGAAGGGGGCTTTATCCGGAAAGGAAAATCCTGTCCAAAGCAATGCAGGCTGGGAAGGACATTTCGCGATTGATTGCTTAAATTTTGACCTTAATTCTCGTGAAGGAAGAGGTGTTGTTATAAGAGGGTAAGTATGGTGTTAAGGAATTCAGTAAATTTTGACTTCTTTTGATGCAAAAGACAAATATTTTACCCAAATTTCTGGTAAATTTTTAAGCAGATTTATTTGCAGTTTTTTTGCAAATATTTTGTGTTTAAATTGATTTTCTTCACTTGGGAAATTGTTTTTGTTTTGTAAAATACAATAAATATACATTGCACAAGGAGGAAAAAAATATCGCCAAACTGCAATAAATTTGGGTGATTTTTTGGATTTATAATTGAAAGATTAAAAAACAGAATTGTTGTGTTTCTAGATGCCAACAGTTGAGATTTACTGTAAAGATCCACTGGCAGTGGTTTTGAAAAAAGATTTGGCATTTGACTGATTTGTATTAAAAAAAATGTAAATAATTACAAATAAATGTTCAAATAGAAACCATTAATTCCCCACGAAAATTATTAAAAAAAGGAAAAGTAAAAAAAAAAAAAAAAAAAAAAAAAAAAAATAAGGTGAAAAGTCGTAATGATGGTATAAAAAATATTTAGAAACGTTTTTAATGACAATTTTTGGTAAAATAGTAATAACGTTTGGTAAATATTGTAGTGTACGAGAGAATTTATGCAATATTATTTTATATATGAGAGATAAATATAGTGCCAAAATTTATACAATATTTTTTTATATATCAGAGAGAAATATAGTGCCAAAATTTTGTACAATATTTTTTTAATATGAGAGAGAAAATTTTTTTTTCTTCTAATGCAGCTGGCAATTAGACCGTGATCTTTTAATGCCATAAGGCCTGCACCGACGTTACTCGTTTTGCACTACCCAGAGGGCGCGTGTAACTTAAGCCACGGACGCGGCCACGGATAAACCACTTACGCGGAGTAACAATGCCCCCGCAACGTTCTACGTTCCTATTAGACCGGGACCTACGTTTTTAAAGTGGATTCCAAACCACTACAAACACCCATAGGCAACGCCGGGAATTTGAACCCGATACCTGCGGTACCGAGCGCCTAAGCGCTAGCCACTCGGCCATCAGGCCAAAATATGAGAGAGAGAGAAATATAGTGCCGAAATTTATTCAAGAATTTTTATATATGAGAGAGAAATATAGTGCCAAAGTTTATACAATATTTTTTATATAGGACTAATCCAAACTCCTCAAAACAAAATAGCATTTAAACACTGAAATGGCCAAAGAAATAGAATCAAAATTTCATTAACTACTCATACTTACATCTTGATGAGTGTTTCGTGAAGAATCTGTTGACACTTTTGAAATTCAGGGACATGTTTCTATGGTCCTTGTGCCACCTGAAAATTCAGCCTTAGAATTTAATTTGCTTGTTTGCAAAACGTTCAGAAGCAAACTATACTGATGTTAAAGGAAAACTTGGAAGTCAGTAGGTGCAAGGTCATTGCTGCAAAGGAAGGGGATGATCATGAAGTTCCAGTGGAAAATTTTGAAATCTTGAATTTTTGAGCAGTATTACATGAAAGTAGGGATTGCAATATCGGACCAAAAGTTCAATACCGGTATTTTAGATCTTGATACCGGTAGTAGAAATTTTAGACAGAGAATGAAAACACAGGTGTTTTTTTTTTGGTTTTATTTGCCAGTTTTATTAGGGAATGTAAATATCACAAAAAAATTTGTAACTGATAATTTATAACAGTATATAAAGAATCACAAAAAGTAAAGGAACATCTTATTTATTTAAATCACAAAAAAGTGTAAATATCACTATTCAGTCTGTGATACTATTACAAATTTTTGAAAAATGATATTAAAAACATAATGCATCAATTGTACTATCATTAAGCCTGGAACGTAAGTTTGTGCAAAAATTACCTAGCTGTCGAAAACGCTTTTTAAGTATCTACGCTAGTTGGTGGTACTGTTAGCAATGCGCGATATACTTTTTCCAAGTGCGATATACTTAAATGCCTCATCTTCAAATAAATCTATTTCTCGTCGGATTTTTTTGGATATAGCTGATTTCTGTATTGTATTTTGGTTTGTTGAAATTTTTTTAGTTATCGATAATTCTAATTTTTGTTCAAGAAACAATTAATTTACCCTATCAACATTAGTGTCATTATAATCTTCGATAACTGTACCGAATTCTTCTGAATGTGGATAGGTTCTGAATTCTGAATAAGAATTCACAGATAAGAATTCTAAATTTCTAGTAAGTACCGAAAAACCGATATTTAAACTTGTGAATACCGGTATCACAAAACTGTACAAATGGCTCAAAATGCCGGTATTCGGTATCCCGGTATTGCAATCCCTACATGAATGCCGTTCTAACATGAAAGTAGATGATAATGAAAATTGTTGCGCTTGTATTGTATACTAAAAAACCGTTATCTTAGATAACGGTTTTTTAGTATACAACGTTATCTGTTGAAACTTAATTTGACTAATATTATTAATCATAATTTATAAAAAATTGGGCTATTTTACTGAAATGCGCCTCGTGTATTGTTTATTTAACTACAAAAATAATGATTTCAAATTTAAAAGTTGTAAAGGCTAAGATTCAAACAATTTAAACATTTTAGATTTGCTTTTCCGAGTTATTTTGCAGAACAATGTTTAAAAAGAATTCTAATGTACAACATTAACGATGCATTAAATTTTTTTTAAATGTAATTTACTGTATAATTTATACATTTTAATAGTGAGATATAATTTCTTTATAGTACAATTGTGAAGACTGCTAAGCGAAGCATTGCTGAAATTCCTGCACAGAAGACAACTTCTGCTGAGAAAACAGAAAAAAAAGGTAGTTTTATAAAATATTGTTTTAAATGTTGTTTTAATGACTATGACTGAGTTTTTTAATGACTTTTCAGCTATTTGACAAAGATCGGACAGATTTGTAGCAAATTGAACTACTCAGAATTATAGAGAGGTCCAAAAAAATAAGTAAAATTATGAATATAAATTTTCTATTCATTAGAATTTAATTAAAATATTAATCAAACAATATTTCCCAGACTAGGCGCAAAAGAAAAACAATAGTAATTTTTTGATTTGAAATTACACAAATAAAACACACCAAAAACACAAAACATCTGAGTTCAATGTGTGATCCTTTTTAATATGGAGTGTGACCACTTGCTAACAGCTATACAGGTGCTACAGCAGTGTTCCACGTTCAAAATTAAGGTGTTTACTAATTCAGATAGCATTGAAATGTAAACACAATTTAGACCTTTAGCTGTTGCTAGGCAACACCAAGTGCAGCAATATACACAGTCCAGTCCCATTAATGTGACCACCTGTCAAAAGCCAGAATAACCACCTTTGGCAGAGCTTAATAATATGTATTGAAATGCTTTCCGATGCCCTAGGACATCCTTTATATACACTCCACTGCAATGTGCTGCCACCTGCCTTTTGTGGTTGGTTATTTCACGCTGACGTCGAAAGTAGGTGGGGGTCACATTAATGTGACTGGACTGTGTATTTCCCTGAAGCATCCTAAAACATGCTCATGTTCAAGCACGCTCAATCAAAGAAAGCTAATATTCAACCCAGTTGATATGTAGGATTGACTTTGCTTTTGGTTGTCAATGGATCGTGATTGTAACTCTTCATATAAATGACGTCGAGTACTGATATCTAAAACTTTAGTGTATAGGTTGGGCAACCATATTGTAACTGAGTTAGTTTGGTTTGAGATACTTGCGGCACAGGCTTAAGAACTCACACACGCACAAACACCACACACATGCAATTAGAGACATACATTATTTAACACATTTGTTTGTTGTTGTTTCTTATCCCACTTGGCTGGCCAAGCCCACGAGCCCATAGGGGCTCATGATTGAAGGGGAAGGAAGCAGCTTCTGTTGTGATGGAGCACCCGTAGGTAGAAGCCTGACTTTTGCTCCGTGACGCTCTTATAGTCATAGAAGACCGGGACCTACGGCTTAAAGTGGATTCCGAACCACTACAAACATCCATGGCACCGCCGGGATTCGAACCCGAAACCTGTGGCACCGAGCGCCAGAGCGCTAGACACTCGGCCATTCAGGTCCCAAATTTGCCAACGGCACGCAGTGTTCCCAGGTGGTCACCCACCCAAGTAAAGGTGGTTAAGCCCAATGATGCTTAACTTCGGTGATCTAACGAGAACCGGTATATTCAGCATGGTACGGCCGTTGGCTTTTAACACATTTAAATACCTATAAATATAGACTCGCGGAAGGATTCCACTACTAAGAAAAAAAATTCGATACTCGGCTAGACACAGGATGCGCGAAGTATACTTCCTCTTCGAGTGAGAGTCTGTAGGCCAACTAACCATTTCTTCTGAACGCCAAAGCAGGCGCTCTTGACAATGTGTAGGAGGAAGCACGTTTACAAAGCATGATTATCTCTCAATTTTCCTAAGCAATTTCTACTGAAGGTACTCTACCACTTCCTTTTTCTACTACGACCACGTGACCAATGACGTATGGAAGTAGCTGTGGCAAATTTGTAACTCATATTTTCTTTTTTATTGAATGCTCTATGGTTTTATTGTACTTTCTTTTTTATTTTATGAATATGTGTTTATTTTTTGTCCCATTTTTTGTATTCGCAATGTTTTTTTTCTTCATTTTTAAGATATTTTGTTATTATTTGATCTAGCAAAAGTACACTCATTTTATAAGAAAATATATAGAAAAATAACGCTATCATCTTATGATGTTTTTTTTTTAGTATAAAAGATTTATTCTAATTTTAATTAATGCATTTAAAAAAAAAAATACTGAGAGATATCCATGGCTTTCATTTCAAGGTGTCAAAAGGGGACCTTTCTTTTTGATGCCTCATGAATCGTTCGTCTCCTTATAATTTCTTTCTCGTACAAAATGATATCCTATTTTATCCACGCAATCACAAAAGTTAAGGGTATCTGACCTAAAAAATAGTAAAGTTCTTTTTCGCTAATAGCAAATGGATCATTCTCTTTATAAACAGCAATGCAAGCCTGCAATTAAAAAATATTAAAGTTAAAGTACAGTTGACTTAAAAAATAGTAAAGTTCTTTTTCGCTAATATCAAATAGATCATTCTCTTTATAAACAGCAATGCAAGCCTGCAATTAAAAAATAGTAAAGTTAAAGTAAAGTTGACCTAAAAAATAGTAAAGTTCTTTTTCGCTAATATCAAATGGATCATTCTCTTTATAAACAGCAATGCAAGACTGCAATTAAAAAATAGTAAAGTTAAAATAAAGTCGACTTAAAAAATAGTAAAGTTCTTTTTCGCTAATATCAAATGGATCATTCTCTTTATAAACAGCAATGCAAGCCTGCAATTAAAAAATAATAAAGTTAAAGTAAAGTTGACCTAAAAAATAGTAAAGCTCTTTTTCGCTAATAGCAAATGGACCATTCTCTTTATAAACAGCAATGCAAGCCTGCAATTAAAAAATAGTAAAGTTAAAGTAAAGTTAACCTAAAAATAGTAAAGTTCTTTTTCGCTAATATCAAATGGATCATTCTCTTTATAAACAGCAATGCAAGCCTGCAATTAAATAATAATAAAGTTAAAGTACAGTTGACTTAAAAAATAGTAAAGTTCTTTTTCGTTAATAGCAAATGGATCATTCTCTTTATAAACAGCAATGCAAGCCTGCAATTAAAAAATAGTAAAGTTAAAGTAAAGTTGACCTAAAAATAGTAAAGTTCTTTTTCGCTAATATCAAATGGATCATTTTCTTTATAAACAGCAATGCAGGCCTTCAATTAAAAAATAGTAAAGTTAAAGTAAAGTTGACCTAAAAAATAGTAAAGTTCTTTTTCGCTAATATTAAATGGATCATTCTCTTTATAAACAGCAATGCAAGCCTGCAATTAAAAAATAGTAAAGTTAAAGTAAAGTTGACCTAAAAAATAGTAAAGTTCTTTTTCGCTAATATTAAATGGATCATTCTCTTTATAAACAGCAATGCAAGCCTGCAATTAAAAAATAGTAAAGTTAAAGTAAAGTTGACCTAAAAAATAGTAAAGTTCTTTTTCGCTAATATCAAATGGATCATTCTCTTTATAAACAGCAATGCAAGCCTGCAATTAAAAAATATTAAAGTTAAAGTAAAGTTGACCTAAAAAATAGTAAAGTCCTTTTTCGCTAATATCAAATGGACCATTCTCTTTATCAACAGCAATGCAAGCCTGCAATTAAAAAATAGTAAAGTGAAAGTAAAGTTGACCTAAAAAATAGTAAAGTTCTTTTTCGCTAATATCAAATGGACCATTCTCTTTATCAACAACAATGCAAGCCTGCAATTAAAAAATAGTAAAGTTAAAGTAAAGTTGACCTAAAAAATAGTAAAGTTCTTTTTCGCTAATATCAAATGGATCATTCTCTTTATAAACAGCAATGCAAGCCTGCAATTAAAAAATAGTAAAGTTAAAGTAAAGTTGACCTAAAAAATAGTAAGAGTTCTTTTTCGCTAATATCAAATGGACCATTCAGCAATGCAGGCCTGCAATTTTGCCTTTTATTTCGGAATTCCGCTAGAATAGCATATTAAATATTGCTGTTGAAATGCATATGCTATAATGCATGTTGTACAAAAATATATATAAAGTTAAATTATGAAGAATGTTAATTGGTTAGAATTATGTATAAAGTCTACGCAAAGTCTCGTGGTAGCAAAGGTACTTGTAAATAAACGGTTGATTATCAAGGGAAAGAAAATTGTTGAAATGCATATGCTAAAGCGTGTTTTTTAGTGTTTTTAAACTATAATATTTAAACGAGGTCCCCGTACGGAGGACTGGAACTATATTTCTTACAATAATTTAATTGTGAGTGAAACAAAGGCTAAATGCGAATATGTCGAGCCAGCCAGGATTAGAACAGGGTATCTCCTGATCCGTAGTCAGGTGCGTTATCCGTTGTGCCACTGTCCCACGTAGGTTTGGATGTCTTAGGTACTTTCATTTTACATGGGTTAAATTGCTCTTCATAAGTTAAAATAAAATCACTAAACCTGGCGATCCTGATCATGATGAGATAATAAACTTATCAAAATATTTTTTTGTCGTCAGCCCTTGATAAGTCTACAATGTTTAAATTAAATCGGATCGCTTAAAGTAGGGCAAAATCGAGCCCAAAGAGTCAGTTACAAACAAACAAACATACATACAAACATATGGGATATAACTAATAAAAGCGTATTAATAATATACATAAGGGTAATAATAGCATATATCAATTTTGGCTAACTTTTCTGCGTTTCGTGGAAAATGAAATGTAAAAATTATGTTTGCTCGACTTGTTAATCTTCACTTTAGTAAAATTATGTGTAAAGTCTGCGAAAAGTTTCAGAACAGCAAAAGTACTTGAATATAAATGGTTGACTAACAAGGGAAAGGATATTGTTGAAATGCATATGATAAAGCATACTACTGTGACCAAACAGTGAGACCAATTTAAAATATCCGGGGCTTATGGAATTTCAATTTTTTTTCTTTGTTTTTGGTTACTGACACTGTCCTTGAAATCTATGTGAAATTTGACGTCAAAATTTTCATTAGTCTTTGAGTTACGCTTGGCTTTGTGAGACGCTAAAACTGATTCCAATGATTTTTGAAATGCCTGAATTAATTGAGCAAAGAACTTGCATTCAATTTTGTTTGCGGAAACGTATAGAATGTTGCAGAAAACATTCGGTGAACATTCCTATATCGGAAACAAATGTTTAGAAGCAGTATAAACAGTTCAAAGAAGGCAGAAAACGCGTTGAAGACGAAGAGTGCTTTGGTCGACCATCAACCTCAATCGACGAAGGTCACGTCCAAAAAATTAAAGATGTGGCGCTTGCAAACCGTCGATTTACAATTAGAAACCTTGCTGATGATGTTGGAATTTCAAAAGGGTCGTTCACTTCCATTTTGGGCCTCAAACACGTCAAATCTCGATAGGTACCGAAAACACATGCGCCAGCTTACACTGAATTGATTCTTCGTGATTTTTTCACCAAAAATGAAACCCATATCGTTCCACAACCACCGTATTCACACCGTGCGACTCTATTCCCTAAACTCAAAAGACCACTCCTAAGACAACGTTTTGAGTCGATTGAAGAGATTCAACGTGAATCGGCGAGAGTTTTGAAGGCCATTCCTGCCGATGACTTTTTAGCATGCATTGAGGATTGGAAAAAAAGTTGCCTTAATTGCATTGTGTCCGGAGAGAATTACTTTGAAGGCGATGCAATAAATTTGGAGGAATAAAGAGTTTTTTTTAAAAAAAAATTGGTCTTACTTTTTGGGAACAGTAGTATGTTGTACAAAAATATACCTAAAGGTAAAAATAGCATATAGTATCTATGCTGGTTTGTTTTCCTGCGTTTTGTGGAAAATGGAATGTAAAAATTATTTTTGCCGATAGAATTACGTATAAAGTCTACGTAAAGTTTCGTGGTAACAAAAGTAGTTACAAATAAATGGTTGACTAACAAGAGAAAGGATCAATTATTCATGCTAATCATTAAAAATATTTATACTCTTTTAATCAAAATGCCTTTCATAAGAGGTGGGCTGAAAAGCTGGCGCATAGATGCCGCTACTAGTATTAAATCCATATAATTTTTACTTAACCCTAACCTTCAAAAGACACGTGTATAAATTTGACAGCTGTTGCACTATTCGTATGTGAGTTATAGCATTTTTAGTGAAGCAACTTTTGTTAGTTTGAAAAAATGTATAAAAAGTAATTTCGTGTGTTAATAAAGCATTGCATTTTGGCGAAAAAAAAAATACTATTGAAGCCAAGGCGTGGCTTGATAAACATTATTCAGACTTTGCACCAGGAAAATCAACCGTAGAGAAGTGGTTTGCTAAATTTAAATGAGGCGAAATGAGCACCGAGGACGATGCATGTAGTGGACGCCCTAAAGAGGCTGTTACCAACGAAAACATAAAAAAAGTCCTTAAAATAATTTCTGATAACTGTAAAGTGAAGTTGATTGAGATAGCTGAGACCCTAAAGATATGAAAGGAACGTGTTGGACATATCGTGAATGAATATTTGGATATGCGAAAGCTCTGTTCAAAGACGGTGCCGCGCGAGATCACAATCGACCAAAAACAACAACGAATTGATGCTTCTAAGCTGTGTTTGGAGCTGTTCAATCTTAATAAACCCGAATTTTTGCGTCGATAT